TATTATTTTCCAAGTACCATGTACTGGATTATTGGAATGTGATTTCTATAATTACCCTAGAATCAGATATTTTGGAATCTGGAGACCTATTTACTTTTTTTACAACAGAACATTTTTACGTTACAGACTGTAACAAGTCCTTTGTCTGCACAGGTTGGTGGCTTTAACGGTATCACTCAGTTGCGTAGTGTCATCGCATATGACCCAAGAACAAGACACTGGCGCAACGTTGCTCCCATGTTACACCCTCGCAAAAACTTCGGCATTGCAGTGCTGGAGGACCAGCTGTATGTGGTTGGAGGTTTCCACAATGGCGGCTCATTCTGCAATGTGGAGTGCTATGATGAAAAGACCAACAGGTGGTACATTGTCAGCGACAAAGGGATGACCCAAGGTGCTGTCAGTTGTTGCGTTCTGAAGCGACACCCTGATCTGACTGCTTATCTTTCATAATTATTTCACATAAAGAAATAAAGAAATACATTTTTCATCAATAAAAAACTGGCTGTTTTTCTGCTTAAGATCCTGAGGTCTGACATCCCAGTGAAAAAGTCTCTTTTAGCTGAACAGAGAACTTGAACTTTCTTTTCAACATGATGGGCATTGCAGCTTCCACGTTTTATGGCCACAAGGGAGGTTAACAGCTATGATATTAAGATCCCATTGGTAAAAGTCAAATCGTTTCTTCACTAATAGGTGATCCATTCAAGCCACCATCTTCATCTCTACCACCAGCGTCTAGACTCCGGGGGGTCCTGCCCTAATCCCTATCACTGCTCCGATTCCATTCTGCCAGGATGGACTATCAGAGTCTAACTGGCAAATACCTCAAATTGAATTCTGCACATTAATAAATCATGTTCAGTTCCTTTGATTGATCTCTCCTTATTAAAATAAAGCTGATGTGTTTTCTGAAACCCAGTCTGTAGAATATATTCTGGCATTTAAATTTATAGCGTTTGAAATTATTTTGAAACACAGGAATTTACAATAGGAACCTGTAAATGAAATGCCCTTTATTTTGTTTGAAGTCGTTATGGCAGCATGAGAGGGCTCAACATCTCACTAAGGCCTTGATCACATGCCCAGACATCAGTCAGCGATCCTCTGGCAGCCCCAGCTCATGAAGAAAAATGTGTATTCCCAAATCAGTTGGTGAGTGGTTCCTGGAGGTTGCTACGTGAAATACTGTAGGGCACAAAAGGATATGCTTCATTTAAAGCCTCCTTGTGATTGCTGTAATTGCAGGCAGATTGTTGCCCATAGGGGAAAAAGTGGAAGCATGGAAAAAAGTAACTTCTTTGCAAATACTTGCCAATTACCAAAAAAACTGATAAAAATATGAAAAATGTAATGTAACCTGGAAATCACTGCAGTACCAGTGAACGGTCTTCATTTCCAGTTTACATAAACTTTTTCAACTTTCACTTGTGACTTGTTGGAGAGTGTTTGCAGAAAAGTTGGATACTTTTATCTAAATTACAAGAGACAATCAGTGGCAATCTTCTGGCAAGCCAAGCAATAACAAGGCTTTTTGTCCAAAATCCTCTTAGCGACCATTTTTATCAACAGCTAGCAACCACTCACCAACCAGTCAAGGAATATACATTTTCTCTTTAGACACCACTGTTTAGCTTGAGATAAATGCTTGTAATAAAACTAGAAGTTTAACAACATATTATAGCTTTGGTACAAAAAAGTGTTTGTTAATTCTTTTGTCTTATTATTGCTTCTGTTCTTTAACACTACTCACCTTTTTCCATGACATGGTCATAGGCTGTTTATAAAACATGGACATAGTCAGCATGATGTTGTCCACTGGTTTGTGAAATCCCATTTCTGAAACCACAAAATGAGCATTTGGACCAATTCATCTTTGATGAAGGATGATGCATTTTATCTAGCTTTATCTAGCATTCTGTGGCCTTTCGACATCTTTACCAGCAGAGAGAGGACAAAGAACTAAGTTTAAAAAAAGACTCTGGGGTTTCAATTGACAGTACATTCACCTCTGACTTAATTAATGTTGCTGCACAGAGTTATCTGGATAAATTTAAGTAATGCTACCCCCATTTGCACAGTCCCCTAACTAAAGTGCTTCTCCAAAGTAAAACCACACATCTGCATTGGATCTGACTAACCAAATCTATAGGTCCTTCTCAGACCTAGAGAAAAGCTTCAGCATGGAACTAAGAGAGCACAGCGTTGTCCTTACTGCCACAGTAAGGACAACACTGGGATGGGCATTATAACGTCTCTTGGTGAGTCACCTGAGCCACTTCTATTCACTGTAATCACAAAACAACCCGCAGGAAGAAAAATACACATTGAACATTTTTGTCAAGTTGATACCCTTATCTTCAGATATGAAAGTGTGATTACTCAAAGCAATATAAGCAGGCAACGGAGCTCTTACAGGCAAAGACCATACAAGTAGATGTACATGGTGCACCACCCATCCACTTAATCATCCATCCATTAAGAACACCAAATCCTGATTAATTGACACAGACAAACCTTTTGGAATGGACTCCTGGATCTTGTGTTTAAATGTGCACATCACATCATTTACTGTGAGCCAGCTCAACCGTCATCAATGTAGTCTTCTCGCCTACTTTAATGTCCAATTAAAGTAGATAAAATTCAATTAGAGTCACAAATTAGAGTTACTAAGGCTGACTGTAATCGGATCCACAGTTTATGAAGTGAATGCATCATGTCACATCAGTAAGACTTGAAACTAGCAATGGGACATAAATTCTTCATAAACTGTTGAATTGGGTTATATATCACTTTACAGAAAGAACTTTTTTCCATGTAAATTTTACACAGATGTCATTTTGAATGTCTGCTGGCCTTAAGATATGAGGAAAGTTAAAGTTACTCCAGCTGTGGAGTCAATTTTCAGATGTCAGGCGTCAGTTACCTTTTATCTTTTTTTAAGACACTGTTTGAGAGAAATATTCATCATGTGTTTATTTCGATAGCAGAAACATATTTTACTGGTTGATTCTAAACAACAGGGCAGCTTCCGTATACTCTGTATAATGTGTTTAAATATGATTGAGCTTCTTTTAATAGTAGAAAGGGATGTCATTCATGCAGAAGTCAGGTTGCAGGCTCTCAAAGGTGCAGTCAGATGTGTCCATGGCACAGCGGCCGCAGTGGCAATTCAAAGCCACAGGGTAGGTGACGATCGGGTCTACACCAGGTGGGCAGTCGGGAAGCTCAAATGTTTTATAGTACAGGTCCCGGTATGTGCACACATGCTGGTACACATTGCTGAATGGTATCTTGATGACAGGGTCCTAAAGGGAGGGGAAATGAAAACAGTGTCCTTACAAAAATGTTGTTATAACACTACAGAAGCAACTGTTTTTAAACAAGAAATTCACCTAAAATGTTAAATGAAGTTTCAAAGTCCTGGTTTTAGGCATAAAGTCTTACTGTTAAACTGTTGTGCATCACAGTGAGGGAAAGTTGGTGCTTTCAATGAACCATGTGCCAACACAGTGCAGGGGAGCTACCTAAACGCTACTCCCACAGAGGTTGATTATCATCTAATTGGTGGAATTTTGTCTGTATTATTATTGGGGTTTTTGCCTTATTATATAAAGCACCTTGGGGGTGACTGTTGTTGTGATTTGTTGCTATATAAATTAAATAGAATTGAAATTTAATATATTCCTTTACTTTTGCTGAGAAACCAGAAGGTTTTTAGTATCTGTGACACAGATACAGGTGAAATACACTGACTTTCTTCCCAGTTTAGTCACTTACATGTTTAGAATAAAGGTCTGGAGTCGCATGACAAATATACTAGACACACAGCTTGACTTTACTGCAAACAGCAGCTGGCAGCATGTTTGTGACTTCATGAGTACTTAAACTTAACCTTCCTGATTTCACCACAATAAAATCCACAGACACATCGATTGAAATTGAAAATAGCTTGAAGCGGCAGCTAACACATTCTTAATAGCACGTATTTTTTTAAACCACAGATTATGCAGTTATACAGGTATTAGTTTTTGCTGACTGATAAGCTTTAGAGGCACCATGACTGACTTGCTCAGAATATTTTCCCAATTTGTATACGCATGAAGTGGAAGTTTTGCATAATGTGTATCAGTGCATAGCATGTGGACTGTAACACCAGTCAGTATAGGTGGTGTCTGTAACCAGCAGCTGAAAATGTAGAAAAAAGAAAAGAGTCTGATATTAATATGTGGTAACACTTGTAAGTACCCTGTACTTTCTGGGGTGCACGTTATGTTATGGAGTGACTACGGTGCAAGTACCCTACACTTGCAATTTGTAGGCAAGTGCAGGGTACTTACAGTGTACATGTTTCATTGTTTCTTGCAAAAACCTGACTTGTTGCCTTCAAGATGCACATAAGTACAGAACACTTGTGCCTTATTTGCAGGTCAGGTTTTAAAGTGTTACCTCATATGTTTTTGTAAAGAATCAAATAAGCCCTGATTGTATTATTTTTTGGTTTTGGGCCTCCAAATGATTTGTTTTTATCTCCTGATTTTTGCAGCTTTGAAATTCTTTTGGTTTATATTTCTCTCCTTTACTCTCATGAATCACATTACCTTGGTGATGCAGTGTCCACTGCAGATGGTTGTCTCCACTGGATGACAGCTGGGACAGCCCTCCTTCTCCAGAGACACTGTCTGGTTGATGAGCTGACAGGGCGGCAGCTGGAAGGCCGCTGATGGTGGAATAAGTTTTTATTTGGTTCCAAAAATAAAAGCCTAAAACTTGTTACAGATTTTGGTGTTTGTGATGTTTGTGGTAATACAGGATGTCATGTAGCTTTTAAATTTGTTTTTATGTACAAAACTGGAACAACACAACTGGAACACAACCATTAATTCTATATTTTTGTTTGTTTGTTTTCTATTATTATACATTTCCTTTATAAAAGCCTTGCACACATATAAATATATATTATCAGCATTTTTAATATAAGAATGAGAGAATCCTCCGCCTTTTTCACAATATTTCCAATAACATCTTAGATCAATATAAGCTTCCTACAATAATCATACAGTTCTCTTACCTGCAGGAGATAAGATGAAAGTTGAAGCTCCAACAAACAAACTCAACATCAGTGCAAGGAGCATTCTGCTAATCTGTGCCATCATTCTGTAGGCGTCAAGTTGCATTAGTTAGTCACTTAGTTGATTATTCCTTAAGACTTTTCAGCTAGCAAACATAATGATGGGGGGCATTGTACAAAATAATTTTTAGACTATATTGGGTGTAATTCTAGTTTCAGTGAGAAAATTAAAAGGTATTGTCCCCTTATTGTGTTCATGTTTCAGATTAAATAAAGAATAAGCCTTTAATTGGGTCTTACACCACTATCCCTGGTGTAAATCGGTGTCACTAACATATCTATGCATAAGTAAAACTTAAAATATATGCACATAAATCATTAATAACTCATCTAATATCTATTAATTAGGTCAGCATATACTGCAAAAACACCAGCTTTTCTATTAACAATTTCAATTTCTTGAGCTCCGTGTTTATAATACTGGAGCTGGAATACAGAATAAAGATATGTAAATATCTATATAGCCCTCCACATTTAAACAGCATTCATATAAATCATCTGTCTGCTAGTAAGAGCAGCATGTCTTACCTCTCCGGTGGCTGCAGGCAGTGTCTGGAGGTAAGCTGCCCAGCTTTATAAAGGACACAGGAGTCTAGTATCTAGTACCAAACAAACTCGTATAGGATATCAGTGTTAATCCCTACTACCTGTTTTTATTAGAAGGATAAAACATTTAAACCTTTTTTTTTACTCACAAGCTGGCAGAAATATAATTTTAAAAGGAAAATTTATTTTTAAAACCTTTTTTGACACAGAAGCACCAAAAATGTAAATGGTTTTCACCCAGTTCTAAACATGCAGTCTTCGCTTTAACCATTAAAAATAAAAGTCGGTTCAAAGAATGCTTAAAAATTTGTTCAAATAACTTTTATAATATATTTGACACAAACTTTAAACAATGTTTTACACTGTTTATTAGTCTACACCTCTTCTTTCTAGTCACTCCCCCTGTTATAGGTACAGTGCTCAAGTCTTTAATCTTCCTCTTTCATTTTTGTGATATTCAATCAGACTCCTAAAGTGATGTAATAATAATAATTACCAACAAAACAGGATGACTGCTAATCTGTTGCGGATGTAGTGAAATAACCTTGTTTTTAAATGGGGGATCATTGTGACATGCAGGCTTCCTGTTTGATGTTGTTTAATGGAAACGTTTACCCTGTCACATAATTCCCGTCAGGATTAATGTTTGTGATAGGTTAGGATGACACAGCAGTCTGACTTCAGTTTCCTTTTCATTTAACTAATTAACCATTTATTTACTGTATCCATTTTCTATAACACATAAAACAAGGCAGTACAGTCTGTATTTACAACATATTGTCTTCAACCAGTTTACTGGAGTTTTTTTTTTTTCCCTTAAAGCAAATAGGCACATCTACAAGCTGAAAAGTGATTGCAAATGTCAATGTTCACTGTTTATTTATTTTTTTAGGTTTTTTTTATATATCTCTGCTTATATTGTCAAATAGCCTGTAGTAAACACTACTGCAATCATTTTTTGTCAGTCAGTTTTATATATCTTTCATTTATCATGGGAAAAAAATTCAAAAAATTGGCAAAGAGGGCAACAGAAATAGTAGAAAATAAATAAATAAATAAAACAAATAACATCACAGTTCTATAAGCATATTTTAAGTGACCGAAAAGGCCTGGGTTGATTACAATGTAGGCACAATAATGAAGAGTCATAAAGATACTTATTAAACATGTCATTACTGACTTTTTATATCTAACCCCTTTATAAATCCTGTTCACTACTAAGTAGCGATATTAGACGTGAAAAACACAGAAAAACAGGAAATCATTTTTTTTGCAGACGCCGGAACCACACATCTTTAGTACGTTTGAGTCGGCGACTCATAGGGAACGGACCATTCGACAGGTACGACGCATGCGTACAGAGGCAATGTCGTTACGAAAGTGATTATATGTTTTTAATATAAATTGAACTTCCACGTTGAAGAAGGACACAAATACGGCGGCTATATGGCAGGAGAAGATAGGGAGACTCAGACCAAGGTGAGAACTCGAAGGGACTCGATGGAATCGCGGCGGAAACGCATTGGTGTTTGCAGAAGGTCAACATCAGCCGATTTGATTTAGCTTATTTAATTTGAACTGTAGGAGAAAATGAGGAAAATATAAGTTAACAACGAGCTCAATTCGAGTAATGACAACAGGCCGAACGTTTAAATTAAGCAGCAGTTAAAGAGGACAGCTGCATGATACATAACCTTCGTGAGACAAGACGCTTCAGACAAGACCCGATTTGGAAATTTGGTGCTTAAAGATTAACTTTAAGTAGCAGACATGAAACCAGCATCCCTGTTAGTGAGGCAACGATTTTCTTAAACAGTATGGCAATCCGAAAACTTCGGCTTACGGATTATTGACCCTATTATTCAATATTTCTGTAAAACGCCTGTCTGTGTTCACAACAACACATTTAAATGAATAAAAAACAATGGACTGTGAGTGGTGTGACTGTGAGTACTGGAAAACATTAACGTGCAATAAACTGTAAAGATATTCTTTTTGGCATCATTGGATTTCTACCCAGTGTGGGGAAAATGTTGTAGGTGCCCGTTGGTCACCATGGACATCTGATTATTTCCTAATTGACAAACACAGTGTTCACACAACATTGTAAAGCATTTATAGACAAAGATGGAATTCGTTTTTGGAAGGAATTAAGATCAACGTGTATGTCTTTACTGTCTGTTCTTCAGGGTCTGAAGCTGCTGGGGATCCTGGATGTCCAGAACACTCCTTGTGCCAGGGAGGCCATCCTGCATGGAGCTGGAGGCTCAGTAGCTGCTGGGCTGCTTTATTTTCTGGCTACTAGTGAGTCTTGAGTCTGAAATGTCTCTGAATTTACTGCTTGATTGTTTTTATTACTGTCACTCAAATGTTAAAGTACAGTTACTTTTGGATGCTCCCTTGCCACAAGAGGTCGCTACAGCAGGTAACTGTAGTCAACAGGGTTTATAAAGGGGATATGCACAAAATAAAGAAAGGATGTGTTTTGTAATTATTTTTATGACGCTGCATTACTGTATCTACATTATAATCAATACAGTACTTTAAAAAATACTTTTTGATAACAATGTGACTTTATCTGGATAAAAACAGAAAATCTAATAATCACTTTGCCAAAATCTGATCGCAGCTTCCACCTTGTGAGAGGGATGCTGTTTGCGACTCAAAATGACTTTATATGTTTCACGAGTAATCTATTTGGCAAACATATCACAGATTATAGGCCAACAAGTCACTTAGAACAGTTTAAATACAGGCAATCATTTTTTTTGGCAAATAACGTAAATCACCTTTTGGCACAACATGCAGTACCCTTCCTGACGCAGCATCAGAGGGGACGTGTGTCACGGTTCGCATGTGGAGTAATTTACTATAATTTTCTTGTACAGTTCATCATGCAAAGCCAAAACCTCTTGATGTATCCAAACCTTAATACACATTTTATGGCTTTAAACAGAAATGCAAGTAAACAAAAGTTATTCCAGTTCATCTTATAGTTATCTGACTCGTTTTCTTGTTTTCCTCAGGTCGGGTGAAGAGGTCTTATGATGTGGGATTTGCGGGTTTTATGGTCACCACACTCGGGTCCTGGTAGGTCTTAAGGACACAATTTTTCTTCAGTGCCTTTCACGTTTTAGTCAGAATAAACATTTCTGTTTTTGGCTCTTTCTCGCCTGTCTAGCTTGTTTACTACTTTGTTGTGTAACTGGAATGCTCCTGTTTCTTCCCACTGTTAAGGTTTTATTGCAGGATGAACAATGCTAAGCTCCGTGTGCAGCAGAGGCTGATACAGGAAGGCATCAAAAACAAGGTCGCGTATGAAGGAACTGTTATGGACCCCACAAGAAAAGGCAAAGCAGAAGCACCTTCAGGCCCCTCGTGACCTCTAGCTCTTTTCCTCTCGGAGGACAAAAGAGAATGCAGCTAGGCTAAACAGACCTAACTGCGTTTCTCTGAATTGATGGACAACATTATTAGAAACATTTCATGGATGTTTTTCTGTGTTGGATTGTTAAGGAGCTCCTTCTCTGTTATTGAAATTCCTTCATAATCTGAAAGCGCCAAAGCAAGTTAGTTTCATTTTCCAGTCCCTGACATGATGAGTTTGACTCCTTTTCACTGTATCCTAATGCTAAACTAATAAAAGAACTACTGATTTTGTTTTATTTGTTTTAAAATGATGATCAGGTTAAGTTATTACTGAGGTTTTCTACACATCAGCCTCTACATAATGTAAAATGGAAACTGCTAGTGTGAATCTGTTGTTTTATGTTATTAAAGCAACAAAATCAAAAGGTGTATCAGAAATGAAGGAAAATCAGGATGTACTGGAGTCTTTTCAGTGGTGTTTATCTGAATGTGCTGAATGAAGCATCTGTGGGAGAAAGTACAGAGCAGCAGGATTTGTGACTCAGTCTTTAAATCCACTGTAACCCTGAAGGTTTGATTATTTAATATGTAACAGTTACATGCTTTCAAAATTAAGATTAAAATTAAAAATCAAAACAAAGGCCTCATATAGAAATTGTAATTGATGTTTTTTTTATTATAAACTTTTCTGTGATTCAACTAAAAATTACTGTGAGCTTTAAATTTAGGTTTAGCTTACATTTTGAGTCTGTTACCAGGGCAACAGTTTGTGATCCTAGCTTACTGGCAGGTTTTCTTTAATAAACAGAACTTCTCTCTGACTCCTCTTCTGCAGCTTCAACTGAACCAGCTGACCGAGCCTCTTTTTCATTTCTGCGGTCACAAAGTTGCCATTTTGATATTAATTTGTTACTTTTGTTTGTTTAGTTTGCATCAGGCTGTCAGCCTCTTACTGTAGTGATCACGTATGTATGAAATTTCAAACATATACGATCTACAAACAAGTCCTTCTCAAGTTACAGCTGAATTCAACTCAAGAATCACATGAAAAATTTGGTTGACTCCTGCTTTATTTATAGAGGTAAATTGAGTGCAGATAAATGCTGACTGAGTGGAGAATGCTGATTACGATGACTCATTTTCCCTTGTGTATTATTTATGTTTCTATGGGGCTCATGGTCCACACTCAAACACATTTACAGCTGAATTAAAACTGAGGTTCTGCAAGCTGATCAGTTTTTCTGGAAATTCAGTTTCTCATTTCTAGTCAGGATTTTTTAAACCTGCTCTCTGGAATATAGCCCCAGATCCTAGCTGGATAAATGTGTTTGCTACATGTTCAAGTGGTTTTATATTCTTGGCACACTGTTGTAAAATGTTGGCTAGCAAGTGTCTATCTGTCCTTCCTGTTTGTAGTACTGCAGGCCATTGTAGGTCCATTCTAATATCAAAACAGCTTCTTTAAAAAATATTCAGTATGTTTTACGACACATATTACACTATTTCAAATGCTTTTGGTGCCAGAAAATGTTAGTATGCCCTCCTGTATGAAACCAACTTGCTTTTTTGTCCTTAGTGAGTTCCTGGTACCAGCTACAGGACATGCAACAGGAGTGTAAAAGTAGTTTTATATCTCAGCTGCCTTAAAAAGGAAAAACTGGAAAATGAAATCTAAAACATTGTGCAGAAGAAGTAAGATATGCAAGGCTACATCAAACAGATCAGATTAAGAAGGGAATCATTGTTCAGTCCAGGTTCCTGTTCAGCTCCTGTATATTTTACTCTGATGCACAATGTACAAAGAATTTCTGCTCACATTCCTCATTTACATTTTTTCTCCTGCATAGTCACATAAAGTAAAAACCTTTATCAGGTTGTGTAGCTAATACTAATCTAATGAACATGAAATTCCATTTATTGTTATTTAGCGCATGTGAAAAGTTTTGTTTTAGGTTTTCTATCAGATCAGTTTTAGAAAGAGAAAAATCATTATTTACCACTTTAGCAGGTTAATAATTTGTTCTGTCTGATCACTTTTGACCATTTATAGCCCTGAGCATTAGAACTTCAAAGAAAAAGACAAAAACAACAACAACAAAAAGAACATTTAGAAAAACAAAGCAGAAAATATGGCAGCATTTTAAACAAACAAAACTAAAAACAACAACTACCATTTTAGGAATTACAGTATTTAATAAAAAAAACTGAATAATTTGAGGGTTTTTTGTTTGTTTTTGTTGCGTTTCCTGTTTTTTGGTCTGTTTTGCCCTTGTGAGTCATATATTTGATATAAAACAAACAACTCTTTAAGGCAAATAATCCTCCTGGGTAAAAATAAAATCTAAGCTCCTCCCTTTAGAAATAAAAAATAGTGCGACACAAACATACAGAAATAAAGTTTACATACAGGCTGTTAAATTATACTGATATCAGTTTTTAATGCAAATCTTCTCATCCTGCTGTGTCACAGACACGAACACCAACAGAGGCTGAGCACATCCACGCCTCATTCAAAGCAGCTTTCTGAGCACTGTTGAGATCATGAGGCTCAGCACAGCAGCAATAAACAGCTTTGTAAAAGTTCCATGACACGTAGTTTCACAAGAAGACTTAATTCACACCCCAGACATGTTACTCAGACACATGGTGTCTGACATTTTAAGACGGAACTGACATATTTGAACAGTTTTTGAATTTAATCTGGAAAAAAGGCTGGGATCACACCTGAAGTGGTTTTGACGCATGGCAGTAAACACGACATACACCACAGGTAGGACATGAAGAAAGTTATTAGAGATGATAAAAATACAGTCTGTCCTTTCTCTGAATTCAGGATTGCAATGGACGTTTTTAGGATGCACCATTTAGTTCCATTATAATCGAGACCTCAAAAACCGGGTAACTCTCACTCAGACGTTCTGGATGGACAAGCAGCACTGCAGGGAAGCAGAAAATTATGTAAATGTGGGGATGAATTGTCAGTTTGATGACAAATATATATTTATTTAGAGAGAAAAAAATAACCGTGTTAACAAAAAAACTTTTTTTTTCTTAAAAGGAAATGTGCTTATATTGAAATAGAGTTCAAAGGTCTCATATTAAATTAAATGGGAGCTCGGTGCATAGTTTAGACAGAATCGTGGATAGCTAAGCACTGTTATTCGTCTATATTGAGGTTTGTGTTTAAGGGCTCACATCTACATATCGGATGTGTTTATCTGGCACATTAAAAATGATTTTGTCCTTGTGTTTTTGTAGGTGGTCACTACAGCCTGCTGCCTTCACAGCATCACCTCTTTGATCATCTAAACAGCTGAACACATAAAGAGCTGCTGTGCAGCCTCTTATGGCTGACAACAACATGGTGACAATAGCTGTCCCTGACCTCGTCATTTCCACTGTTAATGCCACTAATAACACTGCCACCAATGTCCACTTAGCCAAAGTGATGAATTGGCTGACCTTCAGCCTTGGGCTGCCCGCCATTGGACTCGCTCTTTACATCCTCAAGAATCTCTCCAAAGGTTTGTCTTCTCTGTGTTTAAATATGTCTTGTGATTAGAGTACAGCCTTTCAGAGCTAAAGATGCAGAGGTTTGAGTTAGACATTTTGGCTAAAGCTGGGACAAAGTTGGCACTAGCAGCGTGTGCAGCACAGTATATGTTTTTTGTTTTGTTTCATTCTTGGAATTTTATCACTGTGCATCACTTTAACCCCCACTTCTAACTGCTTGTCACCACTGAACACCTTTTTCAAGTGTGGCTAATGGAAACCAAAGAAAATAGCCCCTTGGATCTAACATGAATTGTCTTTGATTACTTTTACCTCAAAAACTGGGCAGATAACAGCTTCTGGGCACCTCCTGCGCATCCTGCTGGACACTAGGAGGCAGTCAAATTTCATGTAAAAGTAAAATTTCATGTCTTGCTTTCAGCAGTTGTAAATTTACACACAAGGTAACAGCTAAATGTAGACAAATTTGTTTCTTCACCCTGAATATATAGCCACTATTATAAATCTACTGAGCCACTAAACAGGTAAACCAAAGACAGTGGAGACGATTGTATCATATCATCAAAGAGGGATAAGGAGGCTGACATTTGTCTTCAGGAATGCAGCGTATGCTCCTGACAGGTTGATATCACAGCTAATGTGATGGTAGCAGCAGAAAAACACTGATCTAAATGGGACTGCTTACTGATGGCACTGAAAAGACCTGAAACAAAATTCAACACAGACACATGGAGATAAACTCTGGGTCTCTGGCATCATAACAGCCTGGCTGATAACCTTCAGGAATACTTCTTGTACCAGAAACCTTCAAACTGTTAGGTGTAGAACACATGCCTCACAGAATGTAAAAAGAAATGAGAAGAAAAGCAACAAGCCACTGAACCACAGCAAAGGAATCGTAGGCACAGATAAGTAGTGGCTCTTAACACACTTTAAACAAATAGCCCAAATTACTGGTGACTGTGGTCTACGACATGCACATTCAGTGGAGAAGGGGTGATTAAATGCTGCCTCCTAAAAGTAAAAGACTTTCAGACAGGTTGTTAAAGCACAAATACGATGAATGTGATATTTTGCGCTGTGCCGCATACATTTAGAGAGGAAGCGTTAAACCTTGTTTAAGCCTGCTGACGGCTAACTGTTATCAGATGTCCACAGGCAAAGTTTTGTTTAAGCTACTCAGCCTGTGCATCTGTTTCAAATAACTATGTATTTTTTTCATTGGGATGAATTTGATAAACTATTTGAAGATCATCTGAAATTACTCAGAAATCTGATTGGGACCCACACCCAGTTTCACACCTTGGCTCAGGCAGATCATCAGGGGTCCTTTTGTCCCTCTGTGGGGGGGATACTCCCACTAGGTTTAAATCTGGGGCTCTCCACTATTTGACCTTAGAACTGAAGAAGCTTCTCGGATGAGAGGTGAAACGTCTTCAAGCAACTTAAAGAAGTCCAGACGCTTTTCTTTGCAAGCTCCTTTGACTACGATGACCTGGATGACTGAGAACCTTCACAGACATACTCAGAAATCTATGCTTATAACAGCAAACATCAATCTTCTTTTCCCTTCATTCTCGAATGACCTTGGCCACGTCTCATAAGTAATCTGCAGCTATACAGTAAAATACAAGAAAGTAATGTGAACCCTTTTGAACAAAAATATCGAGTATCTGTGGGATGTGCTAGACAAACAGTCGCCAACTGCTAGTGATCAGTGACTTCTGCGCTTCTGAATAAATATCTTCAGCACTTCTGTTGGATCAGCAAATAATGGATAAGCACCTGTTTCTAACAACATGTCATCATCTTGATAGGTTTTAGTATTTCCTGAGTACAAGTGAAGTATTTAATAGCAATAGTTCAGCAATTCATTTAATTTCTGTGTTTGTTTTCCAGGTGGGAATAAAGTTCCCATGCACGTCATCTTCCTCCTGGTTTCTGACATCATCAGTTTCTTCGGACGTCCTGATGTGAATCAGAAAGTGGACAGCGGGTCCACGTTCTCTGCCAATCCCACCGACTTCATCTTGTATTTTGGTGTCGTGTCCAATATCACCCTCATGCTGTTCATAGCTCAGGAGCGCCATCTCCAGGTGGCCTACCCACAATGCCTTGCCTGCTGCACTAGTATCA